ATTCTCAATCCAAATAACCTAATATTAAATTTATAAATTTGTTTTTCTAATCATTTATTAACAAAGAAACATTAGTTCCAATCATTTAGCACTACAATGAGCTCCACTTGAGACAAAATACTGGTTTAACATCACAAGATATACTTTCAGAATGAAAGTTAATGAAAAAAGATCCCATCAGTTAATGAGAAACGAAAGAAACATAGAGAATTATGTGACTCGATTTCCAATCCAAGTAACCTAATGTCTACTTAAAACTATCAATTGAAGACATTTAGCACCTTACTTGGCAAAAAGTACAATCAAATTAACTAACTACCACCTTAATATCAACAATCAAAATCAAAGTTGATAACCGCTATAAAAAAAAAAAATGTGACTCAATTTACGATCTAAAAAACTATAAGGCTGCAACTCAAATCAATTAGAACCATTACTAAAACCTTAATTATCTAAGTAGCAATATAATCATATAAAACAATATCAAATTTTAAAGAAGTTATATTAACTCCAAGAATCACTAAATTATCCTAGTTTCCATTGCTTTCACTAACATTTACACTATAATTAGCCAAAATAACATTAAATTTTCGAGTAATTTAACAAAGGATAAATCCTCCTAGTTTTTTTATATGTCTTTCATGATCATTTACAACAACAAAAGAAAATACACCAAATTTTTTAACTAATTACCGTCATGTCTAAAAATGCAGACTCTTTTTTGCCTGGCGAAGCACAGAAACCCTCGCTTATCATCCCAATCAAACACGTTAGCACCTTTAGCTTTAGTAAGCACCGCAATGGTCTCCAAATGTGGCAATCGATGAAACGCGATAGATTCAGAGAGCGATAGGAGCAGTTCTCTTGAAGCCAATACTTTCATTGACAAAATTGGCTTTTTAGAGAATCCGTTTACGGTTCTCTCCAGTGAATACTGTTCCTTTCGAAGTTGATCACCGTGTTTATGGTAATCAGATGGTGGGGATTTGTCGGAGATAGCGGACACTGGAGCGTAGATTCTGAGAGCTCCATCGGAGCAAGCGATGAGGAGCTTTGAACCGTAGGCTTCGATTGCATCGATTTTGTTTGGGCAATCTGTGAGGAGCTCAAAGGAATCGTAGGCATTGTGCACCATTATTGGGTTTCAGCTTTTGATCATTTCAGCGAATACAGAGAAGTGTTTCATAATAGAGCAGATCGGCTAATTACAATTTGATCCCCATTTATAAATATAAGAGTAAATTAAATATAATTTGCACATTTTTTTATTTTGTTATTTTAAAAATTACACTTAAGTGGATTAAAATTTTAAAAAGTTTGAGATTAATCGGAACATTATAGTATTATCTGTTTATGTTCCTTTTGCGTTATTATTGTTTAATTTTAAACTTTAATGATTCAATTGAAATTAAAAATATATCATGGAGATTGATTAGTTTATTTTGCTTCATTGCAGATTGAAGTTACTGGACCAGGAAAGCACTGCGCGGAATATAACCTCCAAGCGGTATCGGTGGGACTTGAACCCGCGACGGTTCATAGGACCAACGCTCTACCCGTATTTTGTTGGAGGTCAGATTAAAAAAATTTAACACGAAAAAGTAAATGCGCAGACATGTTCAATGCATTTTTTTACATAAACAAAATAATGTTGAATAAAAAATTCAATCTATATATTTAATTAAATAAATCAATAATTATATATATTTATCCATTTATATTTTTTTATCATGACCTCAAATATTTTCTAATAAAGTAAAAAATATCTTATCTATCATAATATTATGATGGATGATATATTATTTATTTATCTGGTTTTCAATCACGATGAAAGTGGTCAAAAAATCATCATGGATAAAAATAAAGTTTTGAACTAAAATATATAATTATCAAATTAAAATGACTAAAAAAGATTTTTGGATAAATTTTAAGGCTAAAAAGCACTACATAATTTACTTTTTTTAAAAAAAGGGTTGCAATTCTTTTTCTTTATTGATTTTGGTCCCCTAACATTCAATCTCTTGCAAGCAAGAAAATCAATTTTTTGTACGCAAAATAAAGCACTAATCCAAAGTCATAATATTTTTTTAAGTTGCAATAACTTATAAAAATCAAAATAAAACAAATTATAAAGTCAAATCTTCAATAGACACATAGCCAAATGACTAGATTAAAAACAAATCAAATGATAAAAAGAAATTTACCTTAAAACCCAAATTTTGACAACTACATGATGGTCAAAAAATCACTCTTAATAAGTTTTTACTTAAAAACTCAATTTTAAACCCATTTTCATCTAAAAATACTCATATAACTTAAAACAAAATGGTAAAAGAAACAAAAAATTAACTCAAAGAAAAAAAATATCTCAACCCTGATTTTTTTACTTTTTATTTTTTTGACAACAGGAAAGCCCAAAAGCACAACAATCACATTCATCTCTTGAATGAGAACACTCTCATGCCAAATTTGGCATTTTTATCAATAGAATTTGACCAATCAATCTCTTTTTCTTTCTTTTATTGTTTTCCAATAATTCTTTCTCTTCTCACTAAACTTAGTTATTGAAATATAAATAAAATAAAATTTTAAGTTAAAACATATGATTTTCAAACTATAAGAACCATAGAGGATTTTTGGACAAATCTTAAGGCTAAAAAGTGTTTACATAAATTTTTTTTAAGAAAAAGAGCTGCCATTTTTCTTTTTTCTTTTTTCTTTTTTAATTTTGCCCCCTTAATTCTCAATCTCTTACAAACAATAAAGTCAAATCTTTATTTATAAAATCAAGCATCAATCCAAAGTTGAGATCTTTTTTTGAGTTTGTGATGTCTTATAAAAATTAAATTGAAACAAATTATAAAAATTAATAAAAATTAAATTGAAACAAATTATAAAGATCAATCTCCAATAAATATAATATCAAATGACTAGATTATATCAAGTGCGTTTAAGGATAATTTGATATTTTTATAAATATAAATATTTAAAAAAAATTGTTGATGTTGTATTGCATATGTAAGTGTGTAGGTAGTGCTTACGCTCTTTGGGATGGGTATACAGTATTGCTTGATGACCAAACGTATGTTTTTGGGGCAACGTTAGGATCTCTTTGATAGCACGTATGGGTAATGGATTTTCGGTTTTTGTTTTTTGTTTTTTCTTTTCTTTTCTCTATCATTCTCTATTCTCACACCAAACCCTTTAATTTTTTCAATCCATGTTTTCAATTTGGTTTCAATCCATATCTTCAATTCGGTTTTCCCTCACTTTTTGTTCATATTCTTTTGATTACTATTTATTTTATTTAAAGTAATTTATAAATTTGGATTTTTTTTCAATTTCATCTTTTTTTTTTAATTTTTTCATCTATCATATTTGTTTATCATTTTTTTATTGTTTATTTTTTTTGCTTTTTTACCCTTTTCTTAATTTATTTTATTTTCAAATTTATCCCTTGTTGTTTTAATTCATTTAACTTGTATGCCATATTTAGTCCTTGTTTTTTTCTTGTTGTTTTAATTCATTTAACTTGTATACCATATTTAGTCCTTGTTTATTTTATTTAAAATAATTTATAAATTTGGATTTTTTTTCAATTTCATCTTTTTTTTTTAATTTTTTCATCTATCATATTTGTTTATCATTTTTTTATTGTTTATTTTTTTTTGCTTTTTTACCCTTTTCTTAATTTATTTTATTTTCAAATTTATCCCTTGTTGTTTTAATTCATTTAACTTGTATACCATATTTAGTCCTTGTTTTTTTTATTACTTTTCATGTTTTATTTTTTAATTTTATATGATTAAGAATTTTGTTTCATGATTTTTATGAGTTACTTTCTATAGGACAATCTAGTCTCATGACCTAAGTCACGAGTTTTGAAAATTAACCAGACTTAACTTCGGTTTTTTAAGTTATTTTTTTAATATATATACATATATATTCAATTTCTCTATTTAACATAAGGTTATTGGGCCTTCAACTTTATGATTTTTATCATTTTTTTTTGTGAGGTTATTTTAATTTTATATCTCGAGTTACAAGTACTTCGAGTTAACCCTGACTGATTCATGATTTTTTTAAAAAAATTATTCATGATTTTTAAAAAAATTTTAATTAATATTTTTTTAGCTTTGGCTTTCATTACTTAATTTTCTTGAGAGTTGACCTCTATTATTATTATTATTATTATTATTATTATTATTTGTATGAGGTTATCTTTACCTCAAATAGACCATGAGTTTGAAATACTAACTAGAATCAAATTTGTTTTTATAATTTTTTAAAATTAATTTAGTTTTTTAAATTTATTTATTAATGTTTGATTTGCTGGTAATTTAGTTTCAGATTTTTTATTTATTTTTTATAAAATAAGATCATTGAGATTTTTAAAAAATATTTAAAATGTATTTTTTTATAATATTGATGAACATTCATTTTTTTATTAATTATTATTATTATTATTATTATTATTTTTCCATCATTTTTATGTATGTTTTTGTTACTTTTTGTCCATTCATCATTCATTCATTCGACAGAGAGTTGTGATCATGAGAAATATAATTTATAGTCCTAAATCTTGAGGGAAAAAAAATTATGGATTGAAATTGGAAATCTTACCAATTGATTGATGTGATTTTACACAAACGACTTATTTACCTTACTGTAACTATGCGTTGCTTGTACCAAAATTATTTTACTGGCAAAGAGAACATAATAAAATGGTAACGAGACATCATTGAAGCGTTTTCTTTGTGAGAGTGTGCTTAGGGCATCTATTCTCCAACTCCGGTAATTAGTTTCCACATCATCATGAATAATAATAATCATAGTAATAATAATAATAATAATAACAATAATAATAATTGGACGTGGTTTCTCGTAATCGGTTGTAACTTATAACCCCATTATTCACTATGACAACTTAGAAAGAAATTATAATAATATAATAATAATAATCCTAATCACACCACGTCACCACCTGTTCATTTTCTATATCAGACAAATAGCCCGTGAATAAAGCAACAAGAAGCGAAAACACAAGAAGATACCCGAACGGAAAACCAGAGAGAAACCGATGACTTTGGGTCTACTTAATGCAAACCCAGTGGTTCACGCCAAGAAAGAAAGGGTTGCTCGTACTGAAGATCTTCACTGTGATGATTCTGTTGATCCACTCGATATCTATGATATCCTTTTCTCTTTCTTTCTTTTTTTCCCTCGTTTTTTGATTTTTCTTATATTTATATGTATTTGAAATCTTTATGTGCCAATGAAGTTTTGAATTAAAGAAATGTATTCTTTGACTTCAATTAGCAAATTTTGTCAGAGATATAAGAGATCCAGAGCATCCATACTCACTTGAACAGCTTAGTGTTTTATCAGAGGAGTCTATCACCGTCGATGACAAACTGGGTCGTATTTTGTAAGTATTTTTTAGCTCAATATAGTTCGTGCCAGTGGATTTTTATTTATTGGACCGAATTATGGGGGCTTGAATTACAATCTTTTTAATTTTTTTAATGTAATGGAGGTTTTTTTTTTTTTTTATTAGGATTACTTTTACTCCAACAATACAACATTGCAGTATGGCCACAGTTATTGGTCTGTGTCTAAGAGTGAAACTACAAGAGTGTTTCCCTCCATATTATAAGGTTAGGATTTCAAGCATGGCTATTTTCTTCTTTATCTCACTCTCTGTTATATAATATCTTAGTGTGGTTCCCTGTTGATTTAGATTATTTGTGAGTTCATTCATTTTTTTGTAATTTCTTCTTAAAGTTGAAGGCTTTTGTTTTTGTTTCAAATGCCGGAGTTGAACATAATTTCTTGGCTGAAAACTGAAGAATTTGGTTTGCATATGATTCTTTATGGCAAATATGGTAGTATATAGTTTCCTAGAAGATTATTAGGTGGTAATAAGCATCTACTATGTTTGACACTTAATTGAACCGGGAATTTTCTTTGTTCTTGTGTGTGTGAAGAAGCGTTATTTCATTTCGAATTGATAGAATACTTAAATATGAACAAGGCTTTTAATGTTACTTTTATGCCAGCGTCTTAAACTTTGGAAAACCCGTTACTCTTGAAGTTGTAGGAAGAGGCTCAAGTTCGGATCCTTTATGTAGATGATGTTAACTAACATCTGTTTAAAGCTCTGCTACTCAACCTCCTGATCTGTATCTTCATGTGCTATTATCGTGGATGCTGGAAACACTATTGATTTCCTTGAATGACTTGTAGATTGTTGCATAATTACAATGCCAAGATTGGATGATATTGTACTTCACACCTTGAAGAGTATAGGTTGTGTTTGAATCTGTGGCCAATTGATTTGCTGTCATGTGGTTATGTCATAGACATGTCTTCTTTTGGCTCGCTCGTGATTCAGGATGGCTACCTGCCTTGGCTCTATCGACTTCCATTAATGATTGGCTTTTCGTCTTAAGTGTACCTTGGAGAAAAAAACTGGAAGTGCTATGATATTTGGTTAATCAAGTTCATCTGCATCGTGCCTTCAACATTTTATAATTTTCAAGATATAAATGATACTCAATGAGATAATTTCTCACCCATTCACGGGTCTGATGATACTTCTCCACAGGTTGACATTAAAGTCGCTCCTGGATCTCATGCTGATGAAGAAGCAGGTGAAGCTGCTTTTGACATTTACTTTAATTCATCTTGTTGTACTATGTTTTCTGATTTCTTATGGGTCTAACCTAGCCCATGTATCTTGGGTCTTGGCCATTTATGCACTCCCTGTGCAAGAATGGATGCATGATGTTAGCACATCCAACCATTCTAGTTATTGTCATCGAATATGTTCAGAACTATATCCATGACTGATGTATCTCAACCTTGATAAATGTAGGAGATAATAGAATTTTATGTCTTGCTTATGATTTTACCTATGTTTTAGACTGGCTTTCAGCATATGAGAGTCCATATTTGGAGCATAAATTGATCCCTTCCATTCTTCCAGGCCTCCCCGACTAATATCCTTCTGAAATTTGCAATGTTTTTTAGTTAACAAGCAGTTAAATGACAAGGAAAGAGTTGCTGCTGCCTTGGAGAATCCCAATCTCCGTCAACTTGTGGATGAGTGCCTCTACTCCAATGAACTTTAACCAAGTACACTCGCATGCTCAAAAGACTTTGTACAGTTTCAGTTGGTGGTTGAATGCAATAAACTGACTTTGCTGAATCTTCTGAATTCTGTGATTCTTTCGATAAATTGCATGGATGTATTTAGGAGGCTCAGTTTTAAACAAAGAAACTCTGTGATGCAGTATGTTGCATCTTATAGTGCGCACTCCTTTCTAGAGATAAGTTGTAATGATTTAGTTAAATCTTGGCATTTCATGCCGGATAGGAAGCTTTTGTGCCTGATATTTAAGCTCTTTCGGGCATTTCAGATATCGCAGAACTGGTAATTTATTAAATATAAACTAAAACTAAAAGAGGACTTTACCTCTGCCCACAATATACTATTTATTCAAATAGTATTTTACCTTTTTTTAATTTATTATTTAATATTAGATTTTTTTTTATTTAGTTATCTCACGAGAACTTTCATAATATGGATTTTAGGATATGAATTTTAGGTTTGACAGGTTAACTTGATTAACTTAATTTTTTTAATTATTTTTTTTTAATTTATTATTTAATATTAATTTGATTGAGAATTAAATTTTATAATTTATTTTGTTTACTTTTCATTAGGTTATCCTGGTTTTATGACCCAAGAATAGTACTTAATGAGTTAACTTAAATTGATTCGGGTTGTCTTTTGAGTCATTTATTTAATTGATTTTTTTTTAATTTTATTATTTAATATTGAATTAGTTGGGTATTGAGTTAAATAATTTGTTTTGTTTTTTTATAAGAATATTTTGATCTCACAACCAAGGTCATGAATTTTGATATTTTAATCATAGTTAAATCGAGTTTTTTTTTTAAAGGTTATATCAGTCTCATAACTCAAGTCATGAGTCCTTTAATTTTAGATTTGTTTTTTTATTGAGTTGTCTCTGTCTTATGATCTAGGTCGCGGATTTGACAAGATAACTCAATTGATTTATTTTTCTTATCTTTTTTAATTGACTTTTTTCTTAATTTATTCAACTAATATTATGTTTGATTGAGAATCGTTGACTTTTTTCTTAATTTATTCAACTAAACTAATATTATGTTTGATTGAGAATTAGGTTTTATGTTTGATTGAGAATTAGGCTTTATGATTTGTTTCTATTTATTTTTCATTAAATTATCTTAATCTTATAACTCGAGAATAGTTTTTAATGATTAATTCAAGCTGACTTTGCTTATTTTTATATTATTTTTTAATTAAAATTTTTATAAATTTCATCGTTAAATATTAGATCCGACATAAATGATTGACAATTAAACTTTATAATTTATTTTAATTTTTTTTATAAGGTTATTTCAGTCTTAAAATTAAAATTACAGATTTAAAAAATTTATTTAGATTAACTTAAATTTAAATAATTTATGTCATAAAATTAAAATTACAGATTTAAAAAATTAATTTAGATTAACTTAAATTATTATTATTTTTTATTAAAATTATCTTAATCTATTATTTAGGATGTGACTGGACTAGAGGAATGAGGTGGAGACTAGAGGAATGAGGTGGGGGAACAGGAAGATAAAAGGGGAACAGGAGGATAAAAGGAGAAGAAGAGCCAGAGGATATCTATTATTTTTAGTAGTTAGAAATAACAATTAGCTTAACAAATTGATGCTTATTCACCAACGTCTTTTCAAGTTCCATTCTGGGATCTGGTAATAAAGTTTGTATCCGGGCTCCACCGTCCATGTCTTTAGTATGTTGTCTACCTGTCCAAGCATAAGCCAGACTTAGCAAGCTGGCAGAGCAAGAGGTGTCGGCTCTGGTGCCACCTGAGCACCTGAATGACCGTTAGCAATGTGGCTTGGCTTTCCATCTAATCCCCAGAACTTGGCTGTTTTCACATCGTCCTGGGGCATCAGTCTTGACAACTCTTCGTGGTCGTAATTCAGAGTGGCTTTTCCCCCAAACTCGTTTGGAAGGTTATCAACATCAAAGAAAGACTTCATGAGCTCCACACTATCTTCTTTTTTTGGGTAAACAAACTTCACCTTCTGGAAAGTTAATGGATCTAGGAAGTACTTGACGACCTATAGAAATGAAGTAAATTAATACAAGGTTCACCATACGAAAGATAAAGGTGTCAGAATTCTCAAGCAATATAAATGTAGCACTTATGTCATCATAAAATTGAAAAAACTCAAGTCTGTGACGAATTTTCAAATCTACCTAAGAAATATATCTAGAAGACATGCCCAGTCCTAAAGGGCGAACAGCCTATTATAAGATTTTGCCTGAGTTTTTGGTCAGTTCAAATATCAAATAGACTGCAATGGACATTAGGAAGCACAACGCACCTTCCAAAAGGCTTCAAAAATTCTAGGCGGATTGTAAAGAAGTGCAACAGCAAGTCTCTCAGGGTAGTGGTTCTGTAAGATATTGATGCAATCACGAGCAGTTTTGATGGGGACCTTGACGCTCAAACCCCATCCAGTGAAGGCTATCAACCATGACATTTGTTCTTGACCGTCAGCAAGGTTAAGAACACTGTTCTCTATAAGATAAACCAAATGGCGGATATTGTCTTCTGCACATGTTGTGTTCTGCCAAAATGAAAGAAAAAGTCGAAGGTCAATCTATTATGATATGTCACGGAAACTTTCTTAAGGGGGAAAAGGCCAATAAGAAGACATAAATAAAGGTAAAAGGTAAAATCCTTTGAACAAACCTGCTTTCCTGGCCTCAATATGAGCACAGTCCTCCCAGATCGGTCATGAAAATCTGCTCTGGAGACTTTACCCGTCTCACCTTCATGAGCTACTTCATGCTGCACAATTGCAAGGGATTCAATTGATCTAATGGAATGAAAATGATATCATAAAATGAAGTATCGAACGTATATAGAATGGAAAAACATTATAGAAATTATTAAAATAAGTAGGCAATAAAGCACACCCAACAGATTTCTTCAGGCTTGTAAGTTGCTCTCCACTTGAGTGTCTCCTCCATCCTTTTCTTTGGCCTGTCAACATTCCAGTTCCGAGCTATTAAATATCTCCTCAGGCATGCATCAGTGCAGTACTTCAGACTTCTACCAGAAAGAGGTCCGAGGGCAGCCCTGAGTTCACCGACCTGCTTGCAGATAAAGTTTTCAGCAACTGTCTTAAAATCACTCAGAAATCTTATCTAGTTCAGACAAAACCACGTGTGAAATAAGTTTCTCCTTTGTTGTCCTCTAAACTTTGCTTTGGAATGATTGCAAATTTATAAATTCGTTTCTTGATGAGATGACAATTACAGGGTGAAACAAAAACAAAGCCTTCTACTTAAATGTCTGCAGACGTTGACACTACCTTCGCTTCTTGTTCTTCAATGCCATGCTCCTGATGATTCTGAGACTGCTTTCTACGAAACATGTTGACTGCCAACAGAGTTCAGCCTATTGTAAGTAATCTTCAACAGAAAAGTTTTGTCAAGGAAAATTATTACCAGCCAGTTTATTTTGCAGCAGAAATAATGGCCTCTATCATAATCAATTAGGCACGCCGAATAAAAAACCACTGAAAGGCCTAAAGTGCAATGGAAAGACAACCAACACCTAAAAAGTGCAGGATTTGTAGCAAACTCATAGGCAGGCCAACAATATTGAATATTTTTTCTTTATTTGATACATAAAAATTAAACTTGCCATCAAAAAGACTTCCATGAACAATAGGCTGTATTCCACCACACACAATCTAATTAACGGCAGACAAGGTAGGAATCCTTGGTCAAAACTTCCTTTTCTTCTGTTTATTTTCATCCTACTCGTAAAACATTGTTAGCGGTGTGTTGATCTATTTTATCTACCAGCAAAACAAAGGGAGAACAAAATCCATGACTCAATCAAACACTGATCACTAAGACCACACGATGGCTGACCCCCCAATCCAGCCAAACCTTCTATAAACGTAAGTGTTAACATAAACACAGAGAGATTTCAGATTACTTCAGTTCCTTGAACCAAAAACTCTGAATTATTTGACAGTCCAGCATATCCAAACATCTACACTTCACAGGCAATCTTAGGAATAATCAAGCACAGAATGTACAACCTAAAACTCAACCAAACTCAATGACTAATCAAAACATGGAAATCCCACCAAAGAATAATTCAGCAGATCTCAAATAACCTAATCATTCCCGAAAAAAGCTAGAATCTTGAGCTCCATATCACATAGAAAACAACAAAGAAAGACCACAAACACTGCCTTTCAAGAGTAACATATCTCCACCAAATTCGTACACAACAAACCCGAAGTGAACAAAAAGCCACTTGGTCATGAAATACAGACTTTAACGAACCTGGTGAATGATGAAGACAAACAAATAGAGGTCTCTCAGTTTCTGTACTGGTGAGTTGTTAAAAAGCCACTGTTTCAGGCAAAGAAAGATGACTCGGGTTCTGCGGAGAAGGCAATGAAGGTGTGACTTTTATGTTGAGGTAATGGTCCTCGAGAGAAAAATGTAGAGCACGCAAGACAGGGAAAGCGAGGGAGATTTGTTCGGTGGAGTTAGATATTTCCAATTTTAAAGTAGGAATAGCACAGGAGCCAACAGCCACTAGACAAGTAGACATGACTCGGTATTCTTTTGGAAGGCAGCGAGGAAGTGACCTTTTGCTGTGGAAACACATTTTCTACTATCTTTCTAGAGGAAGGCGGACTTTTTTCTTCCTTTTTTTTTAAAAAAAATTATTAAACCAGTTTCTTTTTCTTTTTAATTTATTAAACCAGGCTTGATTCATCACCCGATTCAAAATATAGATTATAAATCGGGATAAATTGATACAAATTAACTTGGATTAAATTAAATCTAAAACAATAATATATGGAGGATAAACCTCGTATGAATATAAAAATGTAATAATAATGGTATGGTAGCCAGAAAGGTGGTGCAATAATAATTTCAATTGTATGAATATATTTCATTACAATTTTTCACCCAATCATCCTAATATTTCAGTACCCTATCTGGAACTTAATTAATTTATTTATTTCAAAACAATACTGTTATACAAGCATGATTAATATTTTAGAGTGTATTTGCTTTTGTGATTTAAAAAATATTTTTAAATATTTTTATGATTTTAAATTATTTTAATGTACATAAATCAAAAATAAATTTTAAAAATATAAAACTAGAAAATTCTGAACCTATAAGAATTCCAAGGAGGGCGCGACGGGTTCTCCTATTGGCAGTCAATTTGTGCTCAAAATTCTTTCTTGACAGCTAGCTGCATGACGGTCAATTGGGGCAATTAACTTTAACACATTTTGATTTTTGAAGGAAAGAAATACCTTTCAAGACTGAGGTCAGCTCCGATCAGAACCTCACAACGGGAAACAATAAATGGCCCGCATATGAATCATGCGGTCTGTACTTGACCCGAATTTTGAGCCATTCATATGGAAATTCGAAGAGATTTCACCAACCATTTTTATAAGCATGCCTTCCGTGCTTGTCAATAAAATTATTGTCCTTCTGGAAGCAATTAATACTGACACTGCATCAAACCACGCTTGAGTTGCGTTGATTTTCTTTCTTTCTCTAGGTAAATTAGTAGTTACTGGTTTACGGGTTGGCTACGCTATGCTCGTGCTAAAAAAAAATATCGAAAAAAAAATATTTGAGTTGGATGAAATTATTTGATATTATTATTTAATTTGATACAATAGATTAATTTTAGAATATGTTGATCTAATAATTTAGTTGGTTTAAATTTAAAATTAAATTATATATAAATTATTTTAATATAATCTAGTCATCTTAACGGGTTTAAAAACAATATGAATAGCCTATAAAAAACATGGTTTGATATTTTTTAAAAATAAATTAAAATAATTTTTATTTTTAATATTAAAATCACATCAAATTAAATCATGTTTCATAACTTAAACCGTTAAATCTGTGATTCAGGTTATAAATTCTACTAGTTTTAAGAACTTTGGTATTCAGGTTATAAATTCTACTAGTTTTAAAAACTTTGTTTTTTTAAATTTTTTTTTTATTTAATTATAAATAAAAAAATAAATATTTATAAAATTAAATATCAAGATATTTATTTAATATTGTAATAATATTTTAAAATACAAACCAAAATAATTTTAGATGACAAGGCAGTGGAGGTGTAACAATTTCATATTATCGACGAGAGAAAATCCACTGGAAAAAAGTATAGTGATAAAGGCTAGTTTTAATTCATTAACAGTATTCTTGTTTCTTTTCTGGTTTCGAGCAGTGAGGCGGGTGAACATGAGGATAGAAGGAGAGGAAGAGCCAGAGGATGTCTATTATCTTTAGTAGCTAGAAATAACAATTAGCTTAACAAATTGATGCTTATTCACCAACGTCTTTTCAAGTTCCATTCTGGGATCTGGTAATAAAGTTTGTATCCGGCCTACGCTGTCCATGTCTTTAGTATATTGTCTACCTGTCCAAGCGTAAGCCAGACTTAGCAAGCTGGCAGAGCAAGAGGTGTCGGCTCTGGTGCCACCTGAGCACCTGAATGACCGTTAGCAATGTGGCTTGGCTTTCCATCTAATCCCCAGAACTTGGCTGTTTTCACATCGTCCTGGGGCATCAGTCTTGACAACTCTTCGTGGTCGTAATTCAGAGTGGCTTTTCCCCCAAACTCGTTTGGAAGGTTACCAACATCACAGAAATGCTCCATGAGCTCCACACTATCTTTCTAATATGTCCGTAGCAAAAAAAAAAATAAAAAATTAATTATAAATAATAAAAATAAATATCTGTAAAATCAAGAACAAATCAAATACAAATTAAATATCTTGGTTTGATATTTGTTTGATATTGCAATAATATTTTTTTTAAAAAACCAAAATAATTTATGAAGATAAATTTAAAAATAAAAAAATATTAATTTTTTTTAAAAAAAACCCTCCTTTATTATTCATATGAATATTGAAGAATATGAATTAACATCCCAACGTGTCATGAGGAGAGGAAGAGCCAGAGGATGTCTATTATCTTTAGTAGCTAGAAATAACAATTAGCTTAACAAATTGATGCTTATTCACCAACGTCTTTTCAAGTTCCATTCTGGGATCTGGTAATAAAGTTTGTATCCGGCCTACGCTGTCCATGTCTTTAGTATATTGTCTACCTGTCCAAGCGTAAGCCAGACTTAGCAAGCTGGCAGAGCAAGAGGTGTCGGCTCTGGTGCCACCTGAGCACCTGAATGACCGTTAGCAATGTGGCTTGGCTTTCCATCTAATCCCCAGAACTTGGCTGTTTTCACATCGTCCTGGGGCATCAGTCTTGACAACTCTTCGTGGTCGTAATTCAGAGTGGCTTTTCCCCCAAACTCGTTTGGAAGGTTACCAACATCACAGAAATGCTCCATGAGCTCCACACTATCTTTCTAATATGTCCGTAGCAAAAAAAAAAATAAAAAATTAATTATAAATAATAAAAATAAATATCTGTAAAATCAAGAACAAATCAAATACAAATTAAATATCAAGATATTTGTTTGATATTACAATAATATTTTTTTAAAAAAAAACCAAAATAATTTATGAAAATAAATTTAAAAATAAAAAAATATTAATTTTTTTTTTTAAAAACCCTCCTTTATTATTCATATGAATATTGAAGAATATGAATTAACATCCCAACGTGTCATGGTGCAAGTGATTAGAGTTTTTTTTTTTTGGACTTGAATGAGTCAATCAATAATATATAACAAATTATTTTAAAATATTAGATACTAATAAATATTTTTATACTTTTATTAAAGTAATAGTTATTTAAATATTCAAATATTGCAATGTCATTTAACATTAATGATTTTTTAATTTTTAACTTCTATCATTATTTTAATTCTTATCTTTAATAATTTAGTCTTTTCTTCCTTTTAAAAAATATCACAAGACAAGTCCACAAGCATAATAATATCTAAAACACTTTTAAAATAATTACATATATAGTTTATAATATTGTTATCACTATATTACATGCATACGTTATTCAATCAATTTTTTTATACTAAACATTTATATTAGTTATAACTTTTTTTGTCAAATCTTTGAATTGCATTTTAAAATGATAATATATTGAGTTATCTGATTTTATTATTTTAATCATAAATTTTATTAGTTTAATCAAGTTCGCTCATCTTTAAATATATAAGTTTTATGATTATAATATAACCTTAAATTTACTCGAGTTAGGTTTTTTTGTTTTTTTTAATTTAATAACATATTTTTATAAGTTTTTTCCGGTCAAATTTTATTTAAAGTTTTGTTCATTTATTGTCGTTAATTTATTATTATTGTTAATTTTTTTATTATCTCATTAAAATAAAATTTATTTAACCTGATTGATCTATAAACTAAGTTATTTTATTTTTTTAATTTTCTTTAAAACATGCAAGTAGCTCCTGATGGAGCACGACCGAAGCTAGCAAGAACGAAAAAATAGGTGTGTTTTTTTATTTGTAAAATTTATGCACAATTTTTTTCTTCAATCCTAATAGACTAAATATTCATGTAAATTATGAAAAAAAGAACATATATATATATATATATATATATATATAAAGTGCCACATATTTGTAAAATTGATGTGTAAAAAGATTTCTTTTCTAACCCTAACAGGAAATATCCCACATTTTAGAAGTAGAAGTGTTTTGGAAATTCATTTTGTACCATCCAATAATTATTTTGTAGCCAATATAATAGCAACCAATCGAAAGATACTTCATTTGTTAATTATTTTCGTTCACGTACAAGTGTACCAGTGGAAACGATCTTGAGTCTTGACCATGGATGTAATGAGAATACAGCCGAATCCAATCCCTCTCTCTCTCTCTCTCTTCCCTTTGACCATGGGTGTACTGAGAATACAGGCGAATCCAATCCCCCCCCCCCCCCCCCT